AGCTTTTTGCTTATGTGGCTGGCAATTTACAATCACCGAGTTTTACAATTAGTAACATAGTTTATCAACAGATGGTAGTGCTAACTTAAAAAAAAACTACAAAACAATATTCGAAGAATTTGCAATCAATTTTGAAATTTGTTAAGAATAAGTGTTTTTATTTTTAGGTAGAAAGCGGCAAATAATTGACAATGCATTAAGTTTTATTTTTATTGATTTTTCGAATAAGATTAATTTGATTCAATTGGTTTTGCAAAAAAAAAATTTTTTTTTCTTCACTTTTATAACTAAAATATTGACGAGTATAAAAATAACGTAAATTAATTAGATAGGAAAATATCTAACGAATCTCGCGTAATATTGATATTTTCTGAGGATAAATCAAGATATTAAAATTCTTATTTTGCACACGTCACAGCACCATTCTTTATTTTTTGCGTGCTTTATTGCTAGTCTAATGCAGCTATAACATTTCACACTAGATTACTGCGAAAATCAATAAAAATTTATTAAAAAAATGTTTTTTCTTTTAATTTTTTTCTACTTTTTTAGCGAAAATATTGACGATTGTAGGAATAATGCAATTAGTTAAATGGAAAAAAAATATGTTGCGCATCAAGCAATATCTATACTTTCTAACGATAAATAAAGATAAAAAAAATTTATCTTGCTTAGAGCACTTTTCATTACTTTTCGCGTACCTTATTGCTAATCTAATGTAGTTAAACATATGTTATTAAATTTAGTTTAACTACATTAAACTAAATTATGTTATGTTATTAACCTACGTTATGTTATTACTTACGTTATTAAACTGTTATTAAACTTATGAAAGCAGAACACTACAAAAATTAATAAAATGATCGGAAATGTTTTTTTTTCCTCTCTATTCTTTTAGTGAAAATGTTAACGAGTGTGGAAGATGGGATAAAATGCGACGTATCTTTTAATATAAATATTTTCTGACAGTAAATCAGGATATAATAATTCTTTTCTCGTCCAAATAATTTTTTTCAACTTTTTACGAAGTCTAATGTAGTTATTACATTTCCCAGCAGAACATATTGACGAGTGTAAAAACAATATAAGTTAAATGGGGGAAATGCGACGTATCTTTTAATGTCAATATTTTCTGACAATAAATCAGGATGTAATAATTCTTTTCTCGTCCAGATAAATTTTTTTCTACTTATTACGAAGTCTAATGTAGTTTTTACATTTCCCAGCAGAACACTACAAAAATTAATAAAAATCGTCTGAAAAGTTTTTTTTTCCTTCACTATTTCAAAGAACATATTGACGAGTGTAAGAACAACGTAAGTTAAATGGGGGGGGGGAACGCGACGTATCTTTTAATGCCAATATTTTCTGACAATAAATCAGGATATAATAATTCCTTTCTCGCCCAGATAAATTGTTTCAACTTTTTTACGATGTCTAATGTAGCTTCCCAGCAGAACACTACCAAAATTAATAAAAATCGTCTGAAAAGTTTATTTTTTCCTTCACTATTTCAGCGAACATATTGACGAGTGTAAAAACAATGTAAATTAAATGGAGGAAAATGTGACGTATCTTTTAATGTCAATATTTTCTAACAATAAATCAAGATATAATAATTCTTTTCTCGTCCAAATAAATTTTTTCAACTTTTTACGAAGTCTAATGTAGTTATTACATTTCCCAGCAGAACACTACAAAAATTAATAAAAATCGTCTGAAAAGTTTTTTTTCCTTCAAAAAACAATGTAAGTTAAATGGGGAAAAATGCGACGTATCTTTTAATGTCAATATTTTCTGACAATAAATCAGGATATAATAATAATTTTCTTGTCCAAATAAATTTTTTCAACTTTTTACGAAGTCTAATGTAGTTATTACATTATCCAGCAAAATGCTTCAAATTCATTAAAAAAAAGGAAAAAAAACAATTGTTTACAATTATATATATACATGTAATTATTCATATTTACAAAGAACATCCTGTTCATGCTTTGTGAGTTCTACTTTTTCTTTCATCTTGACGATTCAAGAGTTAAAAAGCAATTTAAAAATACTAGCGATACCGTACCGTAAAGATAAGATATGGGCGTGGGATTAAAATAACTTTTGTGGTAGCCTTTAAACTTTATTTCGTTAAATGATTGTATGAATGAATGGACGTTGAAAGAAAGCTTGTTAAAGGTGAGTAATTATTTTACATATTCAATGCAAGACTATTTTAAAGTTTGAGTTAACAGGATGTAACAGCGTGAATCAGCAAAGTGTGCAATCAGCTTGTTTGGTGACATTTTGCGCTTGTTTTACTCAATTTCGAAGAAATCTATGATCTAGTGACAGAGGGCGTTATGCTCTTTAAAAGTAAATGATTCAAAAGTAAACTAATAAAATTTTCACTCCTAAAAAGTAAACACGGGTTCTTGAGTTTAATCCAGCATTTACTTAAATTGGGTAAATATTTAATAGCACTCTTTTCTTCAGAAACAATAGGTGTTGCTTTAGAAGGATGGATTTTACAATTGTAATTTTTTTTCATTTATTTATTTATTTAATTATAAACAATCTAAAAATGTATCGCTAAAAGTAATTACGAAAACCTTTTCACCCTAGTTCTGTAATTTTTTTATTTTATTTTATCGATGAAAAAGATATAGAGGAATCATCTAAAATATTTCCTAATTCCTGTTTGTATAGAAATTGTTTATTTAAAAAAATATAGGGGAGAGTTGGGTACCCCCGCTCACTTAAGGAGCATTGCTTAGATTTCTGTATAATACTGAGTAATAATCAACATTTTTGTATGTTTCTATTGTTTTATCATCTAATTAAATAATGCAAAAAGAATAAACCAAAAAAGAATAGTTAAACTTAAAAAAATAGAAATTTAAAAAAACATGTTTTTCAGTTCTTTTCAAAATGTGTCGGGTAGCCCCGCCCAGTTACAAAAATTGTGTTTTTTGGCTACTTTTTCAGGTGTAAATGAAAATGACCAATGTATTGACAATAGATAAACCTCATTTATCATTTTTATCACTAAATTATTTTATTTATTACATATTCATATACTTTTAGTGAATTCTATCATTTAATAACAACAAACGTCATACTTTTTATCATTATTAATGTATAATATGTATGTATGCATATTATGTATGTATTAATGTACATTATTAATGTATGTTTGCATTCAAATGCTTCTGTAGATTGATTCGTTCACAAATAGGTGAAAATAAATAAGTAAGCAAATAGCTTATCATAATATTTATGATTTCTTGATATTAAATTTAATTTGGATATATCAATTACATTTTAAAAATATTAAATTTTTCATTTTTAAATATACAAATTTATGTTTCATATTATATTAAAACATATATTTGTTGTTAAAAATGCATATAACATTCAAATTTGAAGCAATAAAATAATAATATTTGCAACCGTACATTTATCGACGAAATAAAATTGGGCGGTGATACCCGACATTCATGTGAGCGGGGCTACCCGAAATCCAATTTTTTTGTAAATTTGTAATTACTCGAACAATTTTTCGCATATTAACTTCCTTCTTCGTGTAAATTAAACTTAAGACTACATACTTTAATGCTGTATGTATAGAAAAAATTATTTTTTTAGTATTAAAATGAAGTTTAATCGAAACATTCAACCAATTTTTCTTAATTTCATGACTACTGTATTCAACATATTTTCAAAACTATTGTTTACCATGTTACCAGCTGCATAAATACTTGAAACTTTGAAAATAATCTTTTTTTAATATAACAATTAATGTCCGATGGCCCATTGACTTGAAAAAATATTCTATACACATGAAATTGACAGTGGGCGGGGCTACCCGACTCTCCCGTATAGTAAATGGGGGCTAAAATGGAGTGAGAAAATGGAAATTGAGTGTGAATAAATAAAAACTGTTCACGTTGTTGTTGTTGACGTATGCCTGTTTAGACAGAGGGGAACGATTGTTCTTGTTTTCCAGTGGCGCCATCTATGGCCAAGAATTCGACTTCTGCCACACCCATATGTCACACCCCTTTATAGGGCGGATCCATTCATACATCCAGTCATTCATCCTCAGATCGTAATTTTGACCTGAATCAGAGAACGATCGGTACCCCCAGAGGTATTGATTTGTTATGGGAAAATGGAGGGCTTTTGCGACTTGACAGATTTAACGTGCATCAGTCACTTTACTACACGGGGAGTCTTCGACCGGCGAGGTTCGAACACACGAACTCTCGGACATGGGCCGAGCGCCCTACCGACCAGGCTATCCCGGCCTACTGTTCACGTTAAATTTTTTATTAAAAATTAATCGAAGAAATAAAAGAAAAAAATATTTTTAATATTTCAAATTCAGGTGTAGGGCAATTTAACAGCGGGAATGTTGAAAGTATTATTTTTAATTAATTTTTTTTTTAAAAAATTATTTTTATCATATTGATAAAAATAATTTTTATGCATTCACATTCGGTAACTTAGATATTTTAGGTACACAGACATAGTTACAAAAATTTTATTTTTCAAATATATTAATTCATTTCCTGAGTTCATGCAGGACAAAAACGTGGAATTGCCCAAACAAGTTTACAGTTTATCTTTTACATTGCTCATCAACTGAACCTGTTTTACTCGGTACACTGTAAAAAATTTCCGGGGCAAATTACACTTAAAACCATCAGCACTTTTACGGTATAAGGTATTAGTATCATGCGTAAAATCCATTTTTGCCGTTAAATATTATACCGTAATTTTTACAGTAATAGTTATTTAATTAGAGTGATTCTATGGTTTTAGTGTATTTTTTTTTAAATTACGGTTAATCAGATTTTTGTTCCGTAACATTCCGGTAATGATTATGATAAAAATGACTTTATGGTAAAAAGTATCGGTACCCTGAACGCCGGTTCTTTTTACCATAATTTGAACTAGAATTTTTTTACAATTTAGAAAATTATAAAGAATAAAACACGTCCATCACTTACCGAAGAATGATGATCAGATCCAGAAAATGCTGCCATGATTGATTCAAAAAGAAAGAGAGCGTATACAGTAACGAATACTCCCAGCATAAGTTGAACATAAAGTTCCAAAACCACTTCTTCATGTGAATGACCATGATCACCACCAGGTCCATGCGTATGCAGTCCCAGAAACTAGATATTATTCAAATTCATTACTTTTACTGATATTTAATGAACAAGGAGTTTATTATGCTGCAAATTTAAATAACTCTTTCAAAACATAAAAGAGTAACGAAATTTTAAACATTTATAATTTCGTAATTATTACATATATTGCAATAAATGATATACGAGCTTTGATGGCTCAGGGGATAGAGCGTTCGCCTTCCAATGAGGTGAATAAGGTTCGAATCTCAGCGATAGCTGGTCGATGCGAATTCCGCATCCGATTAGCACCGCCCACAGTGCTGATGTAAAATATCCTCAGTGGTAAACGGATCCTAGGTAAGAGTCTCCTTGCCATCAGGCTAACCGTGGTAGGTTTTCGTGGCTTTTCTCCCCATATAACGCAAATGCGGGTTAGTTCCATCAAAAAATCCTCCACAAAGGCAAATTTCACCCAATACTTTATTCAGGAGTTTCCTTGGCTTCTGGACTGGGTTCAAAACTACAAGGCTACGGAGTTGAACATTTGTAGTCGTAAACCTAAAAATTGGGTCGGCTTGTTCAACGACGGTTATAAAAATAAAATAAAAATAAATGATATATGAAATTTTAAAAAAAATATACAAATTTTTTTTTTACCAGTTGCAAATATTCGGTATGTGGCAGTGTATTTAAATTGAAAAAAAAAATGTCATCCATAATCAAGTTCGTTTCACACAATTTGGAGTTTTGCACTGTCAATGGTTTCTAGAGTGACACAAACGCTCTTGCAGTTCTGTCGGTATTGGAGTTACAGTAAAAGTGCATTTGTCGTAACCCCATAAGAAAATTTTAAAAAAATTGCATAACGTGCGGTTTGGGAGGAGGCCATGTGACAAAAGGCAAATTAATTGCCATCCACACGCCGAAAACAATGTTCATGAACCACCGATGGCTAAAACACTGGGGAAAACGTAAATAATGCATTTGTGCAGTATCAGAAATCATTGCAAATGTGAAACCGCAAAATATGTGAAAAGTGTTTGATTACAGTTTAGAAAAATCGTGTAACAAAAGAGTCACACATGGAACATTTGTATCTGAAAAAAAACCTTGCCTTTAATACCTTTAATAAACCTTTTAATTTCGTGCATCATTTATTATAATATGTGTAACAATTTCGAAAATAAGAATATTTTAATTAATTCAGTTGTGCTAAACTTGTGTAAAATATACAAAAATAAAAGACGAAAGAGATTTAATAATATGTGGTATACCTGTGGAATGAGATGTAATAAAGCATCGGCAGTGAGTGTACTGAATGCTAGACCACAAAATCCGGCAATAATGTAGCTGTAGACTTTTTTGCCCATGAATGGTAGCAGCAATACACCAATTAGCGACGAGAGACTGATTATGAGAACAGCGAGGGAGCCGTATCCATACACTGAAAAAAAAAATGCTTACTTTAAATTTAAACAAAATAGTCTAACTTGTAGCGATTAACAAAAATTGGTACAAATCAAGAATATGTAAATACAACAATGTAATAAACTAGTATCAGGAAATATTGCATAAACTTTATATGATAACTGTCATGCAAAAATATGCATAACATATTTTCTATCATTTAAAAAATAAATTATTAGCTTATTTAATTATTAACTATTGTTTACTTTGTTATTGGTAATCTTCTCATACCGCTTGAGTTGGAAGAAAAAAGCAGAACTAAATCTATTTTTAGGGGTTCTCTCTGAATATCTGCCTAACTCATTAGCATAAAATTCGAAAACCATTACATGGTTGCTAAATGTTTTGATTTTATTAAAATTCGTTATTATTTCTCTTTTTTTTCTGCCAACTCACTTGATTGCGTAAGGCTAAGAAAAAAAAGCCTTGGCAATAAACTAAAGCAAATATTAGAAAGTACATGGATTCCTTAACTTTCCTTGGAGAAAACTATTCTAACGTATATATGTCTAACTAGCATTTTTGATTTCTTAAAGGGCGGAGGTGCACTGTGGGGTTACAGCCACCCCATCCGAGCCATTTTTAAAATTTATTATTTAGTTATAGATATTTATATTAAAAATGAAGATTAATTTTTATTTTAATGGAGCTCCATATTTTCAAAAATAAAAGACTTTTATTATTTATCATATTTGATTTTTCATTAAAGCAGTTTGTGATGTTAAATATATATAATTGCTTATCTATATCACTCCCCGACGGAATAGTGAACGGTTGGAAATACATCATGAACATCTTCAGCAAATGCTTATCCATATCACTCTGCAATGGAATAGTGAACAATTGGAAAAACATCAACAACATCTTCAATAATTGATTATCTATATCACTCTGTGATGGACCAGTGAACAATTGCAAATACAATACATCAACTTCTTCAATAATTGCTTATCTATATCACTATGTGAGAAAATAGAGAACAAGAAATACAATGGATCAACATCTTCAATAATTGCTTATCTATATCACTCTGTGATGGAACTGTGAACAATTGGAAATACAATGCATCAGCATCTTCAATAATTGCTTATCTATATCACTCTGTGATGGTATTGTGCACTGTTGGATATACATAACCAACATCTTGAATAATTGCTTACCTAAATCAGTCTGGGATGGAATAGTGAACAATTGAAAATACATCATTAACATCTTCAATCATCAAACTTTCTTCATAATAACTATTAAGTTCCATAGACGAACTCAGGCAAACTTGTTTAATAATAAGGTCAGGGTTATAGTGGTAAACGTAGATTTGTAAGTGTGGGAACACTATTACTGAGAAAAAATGAACAAGGAAAGAGGATACCTAATTTAAACGCTCATTATGAAAGAATTAAAAGTCATAAAAAGAAAACCAACTAAGAAATAAAGTTAATTTGCTTTATCTATACCCTTTACAAGAAAGCTTCCTTAAGCGCTACTCGTCAATCATGATAAAATGTTGCTAACAGATAAATTTTAAAGCTTAGAAATACTTGAGGTTTTATGCAATCATTATTTAGTTATATTAATTTCTTTAAATTATTTAATTTTTTTTCTTCAAAATAGTAGAGATATACACTACAATACAATAATGGGAAGAGACACTTTCAGGTTTTTACATTACTTTAAATTTCTCAACAAATTCTCACATTACTATTTTGTAACTTTAGATGTGCTTAGTTCACGCAATTGTTCATACTTAGCAATGAAGTTTAAAGCCTTCAAAGGTTTTAGGGACCTTCAATAAATTACGAAAGAAAACAAATATTTTAAGCATTCTACGTCAGAAAATCACGTAATAAGCTTGTAACTTGTATCGATTACTATGGTTGTGATTTGCAATAACTCCGCAAAATTTCGAAAATTTAGCTTAAATATTTATGGAGATATGGACGAGGTATGGACATTTTTAGAAGAAAAAAAAGCTCATTTTTACGTCTTACGATTTTATGCATAATATTAAAATATTATAAAAATTCAATAAAATTTAAAATTTTATAAATATTCAATAAATTCAATAAATTTATAAAATTATAAATATTAAAATATTAATATTTTAAATATTCAAAATATTATAATATATTATAAATATTCAATAAATATTTAAAATATTATAAATATTCAATAAAATTAAAATTTAAAAATATTCACTAAAATTAAACAAAATTTTTTGAGCAATTTAAAATTAATTATAAAATTATTGTTTTAAAATTTGGAAAATATTCGTTAAAAACTGCGCAAGATATGAGTATTTAAAGTAACTCTCTTATACTGCGCATGCGCTTAAAAAATTTAATTTTTTTTCCTTCATAATTTTGTAATGAATAGCAATTTTCTAAGTCATTTTTGAACTAATCAAGGATCAAATAAGGTAAATAATCAAGGATTTTCCACAAATTTTATTTTGTAGTATTGCAAATTACACTACTTAATACTAACTGGACAAAAAGAACTAAATGGAATTTGTTGAAAACCCATTTAATGAGTCTTCCATCTTATCTCATGACAGAGATAGAAATAGTTACCTACTATGCAGAAAAAGCCCCGAAATGATACTTCCAGTAATTAGTGTAATTAAATGGCTGACGGACAGATTTTAAAGTATTACTGAAATTTCAATACATAGAGAACTTTCAAACTCTTGAAAATAGTTAAAATTTAAAGTACTTCCACGCGGGCAATAGCTAAACAGTGAAAAAATTTAGTTAAAATATTGTTTAAAGCTAATTAAGAAGTTAAAACAGGAAGAGGAGTTGAAAAATTAGAATATTTAAAAATAATTGTTTTCTTGGTTACCATTAAAGATTGCATGTTGTACAAGATAATTTTAAAAGGTCACCAAGCTGGTCACCAAAGGCGGCTATTATGTTTTAAAACGTCTGTTTAATTATAAGTTAAAATTTAAATATTTTCTATTGATTGGAACTAAATCAATTAAGATTTTTAAAAAAATTAAAAAATATTTTTAAAACATTATACAATAAATTATATACTATAATATTATACATAATATTATATAATATTATAAGAAATTATATACTTAAGATAAAACTCATTAAATTTTCGTCGGATGTATGGTTTCTATTTTTATCGTGACAGTTGGGCTCCAAGTAGAATACAAATATACACCTGAGAGTAAAAAATCACATAAAAATCATGAAAGAAACATCATCATCATCATCCAATTAATCAAAAAAGGAAACGGGCTCTAATTAATTTAATGCATTCTCGGATT